GGAAGGCTCTGTGCTATAAAGAAAGTTCAACTTGACAGGCTATTAAGCGTCCTTTGCATTAGGTTGTAAATCAGCTCTCACTGGAGTGGGAAAGTAATCCTAGCATCTCTCAGATAACACACAAGCATAAGTGCACTTGTGTTAATCATAATGATCAATGGGGAGGAAATCGAGCTGAAAAAGTTATTGGAATTATGCTGCAGGAATTTGAGTGAATTAAGTTAAATTGCACTGGTAGAGAGGAACCTCACACATGACTAAAAATTCAATTAGTCTCAAATCAATGGTTTAATTGGAAAAATTGTCATGTAGCTGGAAGAGTTGATAGTGTACCTCTCTGTGTTTTTAGCTTTAATTGCATGAAGACGGTTTGGAAAATACCACAACCAGTTAGAAAAACTGTGTTTTTGGCATAATGTAATCTCAAACTAAACTGATGACCTTGTGAAGTGTAATTTGATATAAAGTTATTGTTACAGAAATAAGAGTTTTTAACGAAAAAAATGTTCTCAGGTGAACACTGGAGGTCCGTCAGCAGAGGGGTCCTGAGCACGACATGTTTGGGAGAGGAATCTGATCACCAACTGTGCTTTAATTCGATGCTTAGAGCTGCTTCAGAGGGAGTGTGATGAATGCAAAGGAAAATGCTTTAGAAAGAAATATGAGATGAGCACATGATGGAGAGAAAAAAACAAGACCAAAGCCAGATGGAGTGAAATCAACAAAAGCATAAATTAGGGAGAGGAGAGAGAGCTGATGGGAAAGTGTTAGACCACACTAAATGGCACCGATATAGAGAAATGTTTTTATTTGTCCCACTTTGAGTTGTACCACAAGTCAAGAGCTTTCTCACCACTCCCCCCACTCTGTTTTCCTCACTTCACTTTATGGTTTCTTAAATAGGTCACTTTCCTTCTCACTAATCGACAGAGAGCAGAAGATTCACTTACTGGGAGATGTGGGGCACAAAACCATTTAGAATGTTTGGGCTGATGCTTATGTTATATGCATTGGTTGTAATGGACATGAGAGCAGTCATTCGAGGAGTGTTTTCTTTAGTTTATACTGTATTCTTAGTTTGCTCTATCCATCTATTATCTATACTGCTTATTTCCAAAGGGGTCGCGGGGGGCTAGAGCCTATCCCAGCAGACAATAGGCCAGAGGCAGGGGCCACCCTGGACAGGTCACTAGTCCATCACAGTTCTACACTTTATTTGTTCTCAGTACTAAATTAACTAACCCTTTAAAAGCACTAGAAAGGCAATCCAATTTGTTCAAAACAGACTTCACTCATGGATTGTCCAAATCGTGAGATTGTAAATATGAATTCAGGGCATGAGAAACGGACAAATGAAAACCTTGAAAAATGACAAGACTATAGGATCAACATAAAAACACATTGATTTAAGATTTTTGTAAAGTTATCATAACTGATATAAGAAGAAGATCATCATTATTACAATAGTTTCATGATTGAGGATTTTCTAAAATAATGACACTTATCTCTGAGGATATTACCTACTGATCATTTTTATATAGATTGGATATCCTTGTCAAGAACATGGCAAGCATTTAGATCCATGATGCTGTTGTTAGCATTAATATACACTTCACCTGTTGGCTCAGTCCTTTCCATACAATTACAGAGAAAAACAGTGATAGCAGAAGTAGCTGAGTGTAGACAGCTAAACAGTCAAAGAGCACAGAATTACTCACAATTCATTTACACACAGTTGTGAGTCTCAACATGTTGACTTAAGTTACAAAAGTAGAATGTATGGAGATGTTTTAAGACAACAATAACTAAATCTATATTTAGCAAGGCCTGCATGTGTACTTTTAATCAAACCTTCAATTGTACGAAGATAACATTCGCAGAGAAAAATGTGAGGGCACCAAACAAAGTATAACATTGCATGTAGATAGATAGATAGATAGATAGATAGATAGATAGATAGATAGATAG